TGGAGCTTCCCGACTAAATCAAGCCTGGAAGCAGGAGCGGCATCCACTTCCGAAATGGCTTGCCTCCAGAAACTCTATGTACGAACAGTGTTCAGGCCGTTCACTCATAGGGTCGCTATGAGTGGTCTGCGACTCGACAGCATCAAACAACAACAACAACAAATCCTGCAGCAGCTCCACGAGAGAAATCTGATCAGTTTCCTTCCACTATTACTTATAGATTTGGAAAGTAAAGGAAGATTCACTATGACTTAGACAAATCAGAGGGCAGTGAATGAGGGACTGAATCCACACTAAAGATTCTAACCTTTGATCTTGTACAATAAATCTTTGCTTTCATCAAGAAAATTTGCCTCATCTGCATATGTTGTTGTTGTTAAGTGCTGTTGAGTTGAGCCTGACTCAGTGACCCTATATATAAAATCTCTGAGCCCTGCTCTATCTTGAGCCAATTACATTGTCTCTGGCATCCCCATTACCCCAGTCAATGAGTCAATACATCTCATTCAGGTTCTTCCTCTCTTGCATTGTCCCATCACCCATCTAAGCATGACATTCCTCTTCAAGGACTGGTCCCTCTTTGCTATGTGCTCAAAGTATGTGATCCGAAGCTTCAAAATTCTCCCCAAGGAGCAGCCTGGTTATTACCGTCTGCAGAACAGACCTGTTTGTTCTCTTTGCAATCAGATAGATTGTGGTTCAGACCGCTATAATTCATAGGGTTCTCAGCTAACATTTTTTTTGAGTGTTGTTAAACTTCCCAGACTTCAGTAAAAGAAATTCTGATCCCACTATCTCAGGCATGTAAGATCTCCGCAGACACTTCTACTGTGCCCTTTTGTGACCTCCCTACATCTCTTCCTTTGTTTTCCACCAGCTGGGAACCCATAGAATATAGTGAGTTATGAGTTGTGCTGCTAAAGGAAATAATGGTCGTGGTTTGCATCTACCAGCCCTGTGTGTAGCCACGTTGGTGGGCCCAGCTATGAATGAGTTTTTGCTGATTCCTCTAGGGGACCATGATCCTGACCAATCTGACTGTATTACACAGAGACTCCAAAGAGTGGGCCACCTCTGACACATTCAAACTGGTGCAGTTCCTGGAGAATGGACAGTTTAAGACAAGGGAATCCTTTCTGCCTTTTTCAATAGATGAATTGGAATACATAGAAAAGTGAAGATAAGAGTTTCATTGTTAGTCTTACTCATCTCTTCCCTGTAGTCCTTTGCTTTAGGTGGGATGTTTCCAGATAGTCCCACCCAACATGATTCCAATGATTCCATCTTTAGAGTAACAGAGTATAACTCCCTGTGCAGGAAATTGCATTAAAACTTTTCATTATCTTCTGAGATAAACATTCCCAATGTCTTATGAGTTCTCCCTTGTCTCTAAATAAAGTATTTACCCACCCATCCTTTGGTCTTCTGAGTATATGATACAGAGAAACTGAGACTAAATCACATACCAAAAAAAGAAGCTTGGATATCTGTCATCTTCATATTTTTATTGCTGTTGTGTGCCAGTGAATTGCCCGTGACTCAGAGCTATCCGATTACAATAGCTCTGAACGCTGCCCTATCACTGACTCCTGTCACTGTGATCCTTACAGTAAGGTATAACTTATGTATGATATTAATTCATAATTTTTACATTCTGTTGAATCATATTTCTTTCGAATGGGCATAAATATGAATCTTTTCCCGCTGATGGACCAGGCAGTTGCATCTAAATTTTTTTGGCATAGATTGTTATTCTATCACTGAATCCATTTATTAGAACCATTTCAATGGGTAGCCCATCAATTTCTAGAGGTCTAGTGAATTCCAATGACTATATTCTTCAGTATGTATGTCAAAGAAAGATAATAAAAGTACCCAAAATTGACCAATAAGTAACACTCTAATGAATGAAGAAAAGCTTGAAGTAGTCAAGAATTACCTTTTACCTGA